AGTAGCGAATGCCCCCAGAAAGGAAGGCTAAGCAACTGTTCCTTGCAAATCCGACCGGCAGAAGGCCCAGGGGACAACCAAGATTAACCTGGTGCAAACATATGGAAGGAATCTGTTCCAGACCCCATTTGTCTTTTGCCGAAGCTCAGACTCTGGCACGGGATCGGGAACGTGTCAAGCTCTGTCTGACGCATCTGCCTCCGCGACCCGAAAGGAGAAGCGGCGATGGAAGATGTAGATGAACACTGCGGCTGAATAAGCAGATGTTTATATGCTAGATTACTGGTTTCAGGAAATGGAATAATTGAAACCTGGGCCAGTTTTGGTTCAAAACTGAAATGAAACAAGCCATCAGCTCCTGCAGGCCAGCATAAATCACGTAGACCTGCGTCGATGATTAGAGCCTTTGCAACGGAGTAAACAATGTCCCAGATTATCCTAAGCCAGCATTCGCGTAACATACGATACAGCGTAAGGGACACCCGCTCTACTGGGAGGGTCTTATCCTGCTTCAAACGAAAGAAATTCGATAAATTGAAGATAAACCGTAACACTCCTGATGATGAACATTAACTATTGTATTCAGAACAAACTAACTTCGGGAAGATAACGCAAAGCAAAGGCCTCCCGTGGTAATCACTGCGTTGCCTGCAGTTGCAAAAGGTCTGATTTGAGACGCTTTTGGCTCCTTTGGCTAGAGTGTAACAAACTGGATAGAACAGCCCCTCTTTGAAAATCAACTTCTGTACTGCTGATCTACACTACATGATGGCCACAAGATCCACGTCTGCATTTGTTTCCAAAGCTCGTGGGCAAGAACGATCTGGGTTAAAGCAGATGGCTAATGAATGCCTTATAGAGAATCTTTATAAGGTACTTTCATTCAGTGCTCGTTAAGCTACTGCTGTATACTTTCAACCGTCATTTTAACTCGCTCAGATTCGTATATTATTACACGGGCATGACCTGACCGATACATGGCGGAGACGGGATTTCTCGGCAGTGAGTATTCTTTTTACAGCCAAAATATGATCAGGTTACCAAAAATGCTGCATGCAAAGACGACACTTCAAATTTAACTCTAATTGGTGGTCAAGACTGTGGCATTTTACCGGTCAGCCTCCGTAATTCGCGCCTTTCTGCTGCAGTTCTCGCTTGTGCCAGATAGACTGATCAAGCTGTCGACTTGGTTTTACGAAGGAGACTGTCTTTCGCTGCCGTACTGAATACCGATGCTGTCGCTTCATACCACTCATAGGGCAAGATCTGCTGTTTACTCTAGCTCGGTAAAACATTCCACTATTTATCTCGAACTGCGTCTCTTTTCTAACATGAAGCTTTGGCACTAGGTCATGCAAGCGGTTTCGGAAGCAAACGTAAAAGACGAAACTGAACAGTGAACAGCGTCGTTGCGGCAGACTATAAAAGAAGTAAGTAATCTCTTGGATATTGTATCCATAATGAGAACGTTATGTTCAGTTATTCAGGAAGTAAACTGGATGCAAGCCAAACCAAAACAATGCGCTGATTCGTCAATTCTCCTATTAACAGAACAAGCATGCGTTCTAAAGTCACTCTGGGTAGTTAGATCTAAAACAAATAGACGAACTAGAGTAATTCTGAACTTCGTCAGTTTCGATCGAGCAAACGTTAAATCTGCAAACAGAAAAGCGGAAAAGATTTTAAACGTAATGTCGCATCACGGATAAACAGGATGTTCGATATTTGATAGGTGTTTTGGTATTCATTTCGCAGACTCCACAACTGTAAAACTGGGTTGCCACTCGATTCAAGAACAGTAACAAGTCAAGTAAAGTTTATCGCTGTGAAATGTAGGAACTATCGACTATTGTGTAAGTCCACAAGAGATGAAATGCAAAACAAAACGACAAAACAAACCTGAGCGAAGACATGCACATAGGACAGGACGATTTACAGCAGGTCTGACTGCACCAGGCTTCTGAACGTGTTCTGAGTAGCTAAAGGCCCGGGTTAAGTGAGTGATTGAGGCCGAGCGCTTAAGTTTCGGTTCTGGCACTAGCAACCGTAACATTCTATGAAATATAGTTTTGGCACTTCTTATTTCTCAAACCACAGTAGGAGAAGGCAACACGGTAAACTCTACCCACCGAAAAAAGCCTGCACGGTCTTACCATCAGCAACAGTTTATCCTGGTCTGAGCATATTAAAACGGTGATCGGAAAAATTCAAAAGTTGCTCCTTGTACAGATTTCGTCAAGTGTCATCCAAGCGCGAACTTTATTTGCGTACATTTTCGCAGCAAGTACGCATGGCGGTCGCGTATTCTTCCCGATCTTGCTAAAGAAGGACGCCATTCTGCTAAATCACCGTGTTAAAAAATTTTCGTAATTAGTGTTATATATAAAGAAAATCGAGTGATGGCCGAAGAAAACATGAGGCGGAGGCTAAAGATAAAGGAAGCTGGATCAGAAATAAGATGCATAAATAAAACAAAAATGTAGATGAGGCCATCTATCGCACAAAGGTCTTGTCCGCTATCAGTGACGAAGAGCAGACAAGCTCATTATGTGCTCATTTCTACAAGAACCGAAACATATCGGAGACGAACGCCATCTGTCGATTAAGCAGCCGCTGACGATCTGCTCCTCTTTTACCCTAACTACCCAGAAATCAGGAAAGCTTGCACAAACTAGCACAATCCACCTTCGTATTTTTGTTTCTTGTCATTTTTAAGCGAACTGTTGAAAGCCAAGGTTGCGTTTATCATAAGAAAGACATGCTTGAATTTTTAAGTTTTGTAGCTTTCGTTACTGAACATTACCTCACGATTGTAACACAACTATTACATATCACTTAATGACCTGAAAATAATTTTTACAACGAAGGTCAAAAAATGGCGCTTACAATCACAAGCCCCTTCGAAAGAGCAAGGGAACGACGATATTTCGTTCGGAATTCAGCTGTTCTGAGCAAAAACTGCGGTCGAAATTTAGCAGACACACCTTGAGCTACCAGGGACAAAAATATGCAAGATAACATTTTACAGTAGACTTGGAAGAACACCATGGAAGGATTCTATACTAAGCAAGAAATTGTTTATTCTGCAGCAATATTCAGTGCTCCACAACAACTTCTTTTATCGAACTGAATACTTTGCTCATGATTAAATTTTTGTGACGTGTGCGTGACACTGCGTACTCAGACCAAACATTACAACAGTTTGCCAGGGTGATAGGCTCGACCTTTCACTCCGTATGCAAAACCCTCCGAATGCGTGTAAAAAACTGCAGTGGGAGTGGGGCTATAAATCAACGACAAGATGACGAAGAATATAAGGGTGCCCGCTGCGACTGTCAACCCGAAAATACTAAGGAATGGTATCACGATGGACGAGGTTGACCGTTTTAAGCACCTCGGAACTGTTGTGACTAATGAATCGGCTTCTCGGCCTGACATCAATGAATTACGGCCAGCTGCATAAAATATGGAAGGATCGGATTATAAGAACGGACACGAAGATCACCATTCTCAAAGCAGCCGTATTCGTGGTTCTCACGTACATTCTCGAAACATCTGCCGTCCTGGAGTTCATTAGACAACTTTCCGCAACAGTCTGCGCAGTATCGTCCAAGTGCGATGGCACCACCTGGTCATGAAAGTCACGATGGTACCAGTAGGTGTTGGCGTCTACCGTTGTGAGAAATCTGTGAAATGAACTCAAAGACTGGCACTTAGCTTCGTTTGATAAAACAGCCCATAAAGAGAATGTAAATATCTTCAAAACTTTCCTCATTTAGGCGCTGTGAAATGATTGCAAACGCGTGGGAGGACAATACAAAACGCGGAAAGGAATACGATGGTCACTACAGGAGTAAACATCGCCTAATATTAATCTGAAGTATCATTTCTAACAGTCAGGCATAATAATTCTGCATTACTCTGCTGTTTAAGCGCTGTTAATCTCAGATGACGATGACAAAACAGCAATATTCTGCTCCGAAGTTCAGGCACCCTCTTCAACGTAACATTTATGCTTTGTCCCACGGATTGTTAGCAGCAGCAGCGAATATCATTAGGTGAGTTTCCGGGCGGTACAGACACTAACATCACCAACCACCAACAAACAACGTGACCATCGCGCCGATTTACCAGGTATGAACCGAAAAGTCGGTGGCAGTTCATCATCTCTGCAACAGATGCGCTTTGTTACCTGTTTCGCTGTACCTTCATCAGTGATGTTCAATGTACGGTATAAGACACGAACCAAAATCGGCATGCAGTCGGAAAAAATTTGTCAGGTGTTATAGGAGACCAAGGTCACGTATTAAAACGTGCTGATCGTAATGGTAAGCGTCTCGGAGAGGATAAAAGCGATGTCGAAACCAATCAGCTTGGCAGGATTCGAAAGTGTACTCTCTCACACCACCATACTTCGAATATTTAAAAATCAGGCAAATTATGAACAATGGCCTTACCTCCGAGAACAAAACTGGCAACGCACGAAATAAAGCCGGCCAAGAAACTGTTGAACGGATAGTTGCCCACGTAGCAACAGTAGAGAAACTGGATAACGCCAGTCAAGAATACGTAGAGCAAATAGGCATCAATGATTTTCAAACGCTTCGACGTCATTCGAAGGTAATCCGAATACATTTTAGACAAGATATTTACCAGCTCCATC